ACGCGCACACGCTAACGGGGGAGGTTGTGAACCTGGGGGTGGACTTCTCCATAGATAACAAGTGCTCGAGGGTCCCCAACAAGGCCCACGCCAGGAAAGGTCCCCGCAGTTGCTCCAAGAGGGCCCCCGACCTTGCCAAGAGACGAAGCCGTCGGTCCAAAGCGCCCCGCAGGATGCCCAAGACAAGGAACCTCAGGGGAATGGCTGGGACTAAGGCTAAACTGTTCTTTGTGGGCCAACAACCGAGCATGACGTATGGCAGTGACGTGGTTGGTCTATGTCCTAGAGAAATCCACCAGCTCAGAATTATGGGGGCTAAGGCGCTTGGTATATGGTGCCTCGGGGCCCCCTTCGACTTCGTCTGGGCCACGGAGACCTCGAAGGACCCGCTGAGCCATGCAGGTGGCGCCGTCGTCAGATATGCTCGAGGATGGTGGGGGGGGGGGGCACGGGCCCGAAGTTGCGGGCGCCAGATGGCTCATGTTCAGGGGCTCTTACCAAGGCTTTTTTTTTTCACGCGTGCTTGGAGGCGCTGGTTAGGACACCTCCGAGTCTTGGCTGGCGCCGCAGAGGCACGCATCCTATCCTTGATGCTCCGTTGCGGGGGGCGGAAGCTGGGTGGACCTTTGTCAACCAGGCCAGATTCACCCCAGCACGCGGCGCCCCCGTCGGCCTGACGGACTCCCCACCAGAGGTGGTGAGAAGGATTTTCTATCAAGATATTCAGCGGAAGTATCTCAATGCCAGCGCCGACAAGCTTATCCAGGACAGGGATCATCCAAGGGTGCTCGAAATTCAGGAGAGGACTCTGGACCCAGCCCATCAGGACAAAGCTCAGGAGTAAGGGTTGCAGCTTTACGAAGCAAAAGACCCTCAGGAAGATTTTCTGTCGTGCGTATACCACTGCTGCGTCGCTCCACAGCTGGGGTTATGAGATCATCCCGTATTGTAAGTTTTGCCCAGCCATTGATTCGCTGTGGCACAGGATTTTGACGCGCCCCCATGGGGCATCTGCCAGGCTTGCGCAGGGCCAAGACCTCCTGGAGGAGGCGCTAGCAGCAGGGGAGCAGGACCCTCTGTTCAGCTCGCTGTGGACCCCTGTGCCCGAGATCGAGCTCGAGGCCCCGATTGGAGACTCTGTCAGATATTTCGACCAGGAGGGGCCGACCGACCCGTTCTCGCCCCCGCACAATGCCAAGGTTTTCTCGGACGGCTCTGTTTGGGATCCTAAAGCGGATGTGGGGGCTCGGGGTGGTTGGGCCGCTGTGGAAGTTGACGACGACGGAAATTTAGTCAGGGAGATGATGGGGCCCATGCCTCGTGGGCTTCCCCAAACAGCAGCGCTTGCAGAGCACCGCGGCTTGATGCGCATGATCGAGCACCAGGGCCAGGACCCCCCCCAGAGGAAGGGGCCTGTCTGGACGCGTTCGCCGATTGCTCGGCTCGGGACATGCTGAAGGCCTCCAGAGGTAAGACTGTCGAGAGCGGTCACTGGCGCAGGATTAAGAATGTGGCCCCAAGGGCCTGGATGATTCACAACGTCATAGCCCATTTAAAGGAAGACTCCGGGGGCCAGCCAAGGTGGAAAGCACGAGGCAACAACTGGGCCGACGCGCATGCTAAAGAGGCGGCGGGCGTTTATAGGTCCCCCCAAGATGTTGCCACCATCACCGCCCAGCCCTTTGAATGGAACCTTGTTGCCGACTTGGCGGCGGCTGTTCTGGAAGAGTGGCCGTCCGCTCGAGAACGAGTTGGCGAGTTAGGCAGAGCTCCCAGAGCCAGGCCTGAAAAGCAGAGACATGTTTATCTTGCTCATAAAGTCATATGGATGGGCGATGTTTGGCGGTGCTTCGAGTGTCCCAGGACTTTTCGGACTGCGAACGCGGCCGAGAGTTCGGCACGTGGCCTCCTCGCCCCTGCCCTTCGCTCCCTCCTTTGCCCGCTTGTTCCCCCTTCCCCTCCCCGCGCCTTCCGAGCGGCCGGGGCCCTTGCCGCGGGGCAGGGGATTCTCTTTTGCAGCCGTTGCGGAATCTATGTTCAGGCCGCCACCCACGTGACCTGATAAGAGGATGTTTGGAAGAAGCAGGTGCGGATGCTCAAGAATGGTCGCCTTCCGTGGCCCAGGGGTCCTCTCGGGCTCATTCCCCCGTTCTGGACTCCTGGGGCCAAGGTTGCGGAAGGCTGGGGGTCTTTGTTCAGAGACGAGCATCCGCGCCACGGATCTCTTTTGGAGACCACTTTGTTCACGAACACTTGTGCCAATCATCTTCTTGAGTGTGCTAAGCAGGGCCTGCCGCAGGCCGATGCTCACACTCTCGTCTTTTGTGTTGGGGGTTGGATGTGTTGGATCGTATGGATCTGGCTGTCCGCCTTCCACCGGGGCCCCAATGTGGCGCCGCGCCTCCTTCGCTCTGCGAGTGTTGAAGAGGCGGGATGTCCAAGGCAAAAATTCTGAGGAGGAGGACCCACCCTCCAACTTCAGGTGGTGGTGGGGATCGAGAACAGGCACGTCGGACAGACTTTCCTGCGACGGCGGCCCCGCCGCGGGCGTTCCATGGGCACTCCGCGGGCGGCCCCCGGATATCTCGCGGCCTTCGGCGCATCCCGCCACCGTGCTTGGGTCAGGGGCTCCTCCACCCCCCCCCCCCCCCCCTCCCCTTCGCCCGAAAAAAGCACGCGAGAAGGCGCGCCAGGCCCAGGAAGATTTGAGACAGAGGGGTCCGGGGCCCTCAAAAACTGCTCCTTGGACCCCTTCCTTGGCCGCCGACCACACATGCGACGAAACAGGACGAGGCTAGAATCGGGCGAGGATCAATAAATCTAACATCTCTGAGATCCGGCGGCCCTGGAGGATGTCTCGGGTGCCGCGGCCTGTCTCAGGGCGTCCAGGAACGCTCTGAGGGCATTCTGGAGTGCTCTGGGACGGACTCACACTCGTCGTAGCCCCGCCCGACCCCCCTTGCCCAGGGTAGGGTAGGATAGGGCAGGCTATAGTAGAGTTGGGTTGAATATCGCAGCGTAGGGTAGAGTAGGGTAGATGGCACTATTCCGGCCAGGCTTCCGTACCATTGCCGGGAAGCCTTAGCAAAACCACTGTTTTGCGCGAGGGTATTGCGTGGCGCCGCCTGACCGTAAACCGAAACAATGCCCGCACCAAACAACAAATAATCGCTGCTCGCGCGCCGTTGGCGCCCTTGTCGCCGCGGCTTCTGCCGAGCGTACGGGGTGTAGCGACACGGGCGACACCTGCGCGCGAGCTGCGAGTTGTTCGGCGCGCGGAGTAGAATCGGGTGGAGCAGAGTAGAGTGGCGTGGAGCATGGCCGGGCCTGGGACAGAAGAACATCCTTCAAGCAAACGAGGCCCCCCGCTGACCCAAACTGGAGAGCAGTCAAGGGTGCCCTCCCCCAGGATGCTCGAGAACATGCAACAAGCACGAAGAACATTAGAGCGCACTCCCCGAAACGATCTCGATCTTTTTAGACCTCTGTCCGATTGTATCCGCGCGCCCTCGCGCCCTCCGCGCCGCCGTTTCGCATCTTCCTCTTCTTCTTCTCCTCATCCTCCTCCTGCTTCTCCTCCCCCCCCCCTCCTCCTCCTCCTCCTCCTCCTCCTCCTCCTTCTCCTCCTCCTAGGGTGCCCTCCCCTAACCGACTTCGATCTTCTACCTCGGCCCGACCGTAGGGTGGGCTCCGTGGAGGGGGGCCCGGGGATGCGCCCCTCCTTGGGCGCCCAGGGCGAGGGGGAACGACGCGGCGGATTCCTGCCGCGCCGGCTTCGGCGCGTTGGCTCTTGAGACTGCGGGGACCGCTCAGCTTGGAAAGATCGGCCGCATCCGAAACGTCGGATCATTCACCATCGACCAATTCTGGGTTGCCTACGGCGTTCAAATTTGAACGCAGGCGGCGGGGTCGCCGCCGGTCGACACGACGCAAGCCTACCGTGAGTCGGGCGCAAGCTGGCATGGATCAGGGATCTGTGGATCTGGCGCGTAGGTGCCAGGTCCACGGACCGTGGAAGGTACCCCAGAAGCGTGAGGCCAGTTGCGCTCGATTTGGCGAAGGAGCGCGCCGATGCTCTACGAAAGCGGGGCCCGTCGCTAATCCACGCGTCGCTGCAGTCACCGTGCAACCAGAAGGCACGCACGATAGGGAACGAAAGGGCTTTTCGGCCACGGCGGACCAAGGCCACAAACAAGTTCCACGGCATCAGGCTAATTAGCTCCCTGAGAACCCGAGCCTTCCCTGAGCCCAAAGCGGTCCTGACTTCAACGTCTTGACCAGAGTCCATGCTTGCGCTCCCTCGTTCGAGAGGGGCGACGAGCCGGATGAACCCCTCCAGAGGGGCGCGGCAAGTTCGCGCCGTGGCGACGCCGGCGTTAGTTTCTGACACCTCCCGGGGATCGCTCAGCCCTGAGCGATCGGCGGCCCTTCGATCGCCAGATCGTCCCATATTGGCCCGATTCTGGGCCACCCGCGGATTGCACCATCCAACGCCCGCGGCGGGGCCTTCGCCGCGGGGGAGTCCATCCATCTGTCCACGTCGCCCCCGACCGGCTCTGGCTCTGGAGCCGTGGTTCGGCCCTCCCGTGGCCTTTTTCGGACGATCCGGCACGCCCAGAGCGCCCCCGCGGCGAGGCGCAGCTGCTGGAAGGCGCCCCGAGGCCAGAAAGTGGCCCCCCGAACCGAGAGCGGACCTCCTCGTCCTCCTCCCCCTTCCTCCTCCTCCTCCTCCTCCTCCTCTTCCTCCTCTTCCTCCTCCCCCTCCTCCTCTTCCTCCTCCTCCTCCTCCTCCCCCTCCTCCTCCTCCTCTTCAGTCCGTAGCCATTTTGGCTCAAGATGTTTGGTGCCCCTGGGGGCCACACGGATACCGCTAGTCCGCGGCCAGACCACAATTGTTCGCCTTCACCGTGGGAGTTGGGCACCCACCACCAGGCCTGCAGCCCCGCCTGCGAGGCTACGGCGTCTCGCCTCCAGCTGGACCTGCGTGGCCAGCTCGCAGCATGGCGCCGCAGCATTACCGCTCGGAGCAAAGCAGGCGGCAATGGCACTGCAAGAGCTGCGTCGGGCCCAAGGGCCTCCCGTGGTTCAATTACGCCGACGCGACGTCATGCTCCAAGTGCAAGCTGGGCAAGGGACTCTGCTTCAAGGAGTATCGGGCCTCTCCGGTGCCGTCGCTTCGCAGGCCAGGCAGATCCTTCTCAGCTTGGGCAGACTCGGTGCAGGTCCAGAAGCTCAAGCAGGAGTTGGCGGCTGCCAACGCGAAGCTCAAGCGCGCCGAGGCCCCGCCCGCGGAAGCCGAGGAGGAGCTCAGCGGGTCAGACAAGGACAAGCAGAGGCTGCGGGAGCTGGGCGAGCTGCTCAAGACCGTCGAGGGCAGTGCCGACCCCCACCTGGCGAGGGCCAAGGCGGCGTACGTCCAGGAGCAGGCCGAGCTCAAGGCGAAGCTGGCGGCGGCGCGCCCGCTGGGACAGAGGCTGCGCGACCTCGGGGCCCAGATCAGCAGGCAGCAGAAGTTGCAGGAGGACCAGCAGCGGCGGCTTGCGGGCGTCCGCGAGAAGCTGGCGCTGCTGCAGGAGCAGGAGAAGGCGGCGCTGCAACAGCTCGCGGCGCTCGACACGCAGATGCTGGACTTGCAGGAGCAGCAGCGGCAGCTCCAGAGCCAAGCACCGCTGCCGCCGCAGCCAGAGCGCGGCAAGGGGCCTTTGGACGAGCCGATCGTCGGGCTCGGCCAAACGTTGTCGGGGCTGGACCAGGTGCTCAACTCCCCTGGCGCCGAGCACGGTCTGGCGGAGCGCCTCAAGGAGGACCTGGAGCGCCTCGAGCAGCTCAGCGAGGAGACCAGGGCCAAGCAGCAGCGGGAGCGGGACGAAGCGGCTGCTGCCGCTGCGGAGTCCCAGCGGACGCCTGACGGCGGCCCCCCTTCCGAAGCTGACGCGATGGAGCAGGACGAGGCCGACAGCGCCGAGTTCGTTGAGGAGATCGCCAGCGCTGGAGGCGACAAGCGCAGGATCGAGGAGATCATGGCCAAGCACGGGTGCAAGCGGCACAAGGCGGTCGTCGCCTGCTGAGGCCCTTGCCTTACGTGTACTGCTGTGGCTGTGTTTCTCGTCCATCGCAATGGCTAACTCCATCGGCGTAACCACTATCAATGTCTCGTCAGGCGGCCCCCTGATCGGCTACCTGGCCAACTGTTCCAGCATGTGCGTCGCTGTGCAGGAGCATCATGCACCGCCTGGGGCCCTGGCAAGGGCCCAGCAGGACGCGCTCGCCGAGGCCTACCACGGCGTCTGGGAGGCGGCGCTTCCAGGACATGGCTCTGGCAGTCAGGGTGGCGTGGCGGTCCTGGTGCCGAGACGGGTGCTCATCACAGCGCCCCCTGCGCTGGAGGGGCCGACCTTGGAGCCAGGGCGCATGGTGGCGGCGCATGTCAACTGCGGCGGCAAGGGAGGATTCGTCATGATCTCTCTGTACATGCGGGTTGACGAGCTGCTGTCGCCAGAGAACCTCGATGCAGATGCCGTGGATCGTGGGCGGGGATGTCAACATGGAGCTCAAGCAGATGGGCCCGCTGTCGTGGCTGCACTCCGTCAATGGCGTGACGGTGGTGCCGTCGGTGCCAACTTGCATCCAGGCCCTCCCTGGGCGCACGATCGACTTCTTTTTCGTGGCGTGCCAGGTCATGCCGAGGATTGGCCATCCTGCAGTCGGCGAGGCAGACACGTGGCCGCACCTGCCTGTCACGGTCACGCTGTCCGCCCAGCCGCAGGTGATGTGGACGCGACAGCTGGTGCAGTCCAAGGGCTTCACCAAGGCGCCGAAGATCGGCTGCGCCAGGCCGCCACCAGACTGGGACCCGTTCCTCGACCAGGCTAGGCAGGCGACCTCGCCAGAGCAGCTGGCGGACGTGTGGGACCAGCTGCTGCTCGGCATCGAGTTCGAGCTGCAGGGGCGGCGCGATGTTGTCGGGCCGCAGGCCACGAAGTTTACGTCCAAGCCGACGGCGCCCATGTTCGAGTGGATTAGGTTCGACCCCGACGAGAGACAGTCTTGGAAGAGGAAGGCGCCCGACGTCGCAGCGTGGCTGGCAGCAGCGCGCTGGGCGCGGCAGTTTCGACGTGTACGTACTGCTCTCGTATCGTCCATCATGAAGCTGTCAGACCCTCCTACTTTCGTGTTGCCTGGTCTGGGATGCTCTGGAACGGTGGCACCTTCGGCACCCACGGCTACGGCTGCTACGTCGGCGGAGGTGCCCCGTGGCGCGGCGGCGGCTGCGGCTGGATCGGCGTCCTGGTCCCCTTCGGCGTCCTCCCCAGCGGCCCCCTCTCCACCCCTGGCACCCGCCACTGTTGCCAGAGGCCCCCCAATGGGGGATAACGGAAGGGGAACTGCCGCCGCCGTGGGCGTACAGCAGGCGCCCGATACTGGTGAACGCCCCCCGAGGAGGGAGTACTGCAGCAAGCTGTGCGACAAGACGGCGAGGCACATCTTCGAATTTCAGTGTTTCTTGAGAAGGATTGCAGCTCGCTCTGATGTCTGGCCGCACCTTGACAAGTTGGTTGTCGATTTCTTCGCATGTGGGCTCCTGGCGTTCGCACAGGAGGACTTCGACCAGCAGGTCGAGCGCATCATTGTCAAAGCAGATGGTATGCAGCGGGCGCACGAGAGGAAGGTAGCCGCCAGTTGGCATGCGTGGGCCGAGGCGTCGTTCGAGGGGGGCGCCAGCCGAGCACACAAGTGTTCCAAGCCGCTGGCGCTCCAGGAGGTAGTCGACTACGGCGCAGGGGTCCAACGTGCGTACCAGCTGGCCGATCGCAAGGTGCAGCACTGGTGCCAGTACTGGCAGAGGCACGATGACGGGCTGATCGCGCTGCCCAGCGACCACCAGGAGTGGGACCAGCTGCCGCCACTCAGTGGAAGTGACCTTCGTCGGGCTATTCGCGCCTTCAGCTGGACAACGGGTACGGGGCAAGTTAAGATCGTCCCGCGGGCGCTGGGCCACCTATCCGATGCTGCCCTGGATGCGATGGCCGCCCTGTTCTGTCGGTGCGAGCAGTTGCCCATCTGGCCCCAGTCTCGGTTCATGACGAAGCTCGTTCGCCTACCCAAGCCTGGAGGAGGGGAGCGCCTGGTCGCTCTCCTCAACACGCTCATTCGAGTGTGGGGGAGGGCCCGTCGGCCTGTGTCTGCCCAGTGGGAGGTGGACAACGCCAGCGAGGAGTTCTGGGGGCACACGGGGGGCAGGTCGTCCACTGATGCTGCCTTCGACCTGGCCCTCGAGAAGGAGACGGCCCACCTCACGGGCGACCACGCCCTGATCGTGCTGCTGGACATGCTCAAGTGCTACGAGATGGTTCGGCACCAGGCGCTGCTCGATGAGTGCAGGGCCAACCAGTATCCCATGAGGCTGGCGTACATGCTCGTGCTGCTCTACCAGCAGGAGCGCACGATCTTCGCTTACAACTCTTTCTCGGAGGCGAAGCAGGCCTGCCAGGGCATCCTGGCTGGGTGCACTCATGCCACGACGCTGCTGATGGTACTGTTGACACGTGCCCTACGCATGATTGCTCGGATCGCGCCTGAGGTCCGACCACGTGGCTTGGTGGACGACGTGGCGCTGTCCTGGACGGGTGCCGATGCCCGAGGTGCCCGCATGCTGGCGTCCGCCACGCGAGTGTTCTGCGAGGCGGTCAAACCACTCGGTCTTCTGCTGCAGCTGGACAAGTCTGGGCACCTGGCAGTCACGCGGCAGTCGAAGTATCATTTCCGCCAGTTTGCCAAGATGCTCAAGATTGGAGGCAAGCGTCACATGCGCTACCTGGGCCACGACCTCGCCGCCAGTGCTGCCGTGCGCAATGTCCAGAAGGACCGCCTCAAGAAGATGGATGCTCGGCGCCCTCGGCTGAAGGCGTTGCAGAAGGGTGCTGGACGTTGGCGCTCGGCGCGCCTTTGGACTACGGGTGCGCTGCCGTCGGTCGGCCACGGAGCGGCGGTCAGCGGCATCAACGACGGCGAGCTGAAGCAGATGCGCAGTGTTGCTGGCAGTTTCTGTGGCTTCAGTGGCAGCGGCTCTCTTACTCTGTACCTGGCGGTTCAGAAGCAGCGCAATTTCGACCCGATCTACCATGCCACCTGCAGCCTGTTGCAGCAGTACTCGGTCTGGGTGTGGGCAGCGTGCGGCTCTCTCGCCAGGTTGCAGAGGGCCTGGGTGGCGCTGAAGGACCAGTTCGAGGCTGCTCGCGGCGCGGTCACTTGGGCCAGCGCTCGAGGTCCGATCTCGGCCCTCTGGCTGACTCTGCGCAGGGTCGGGTGGGACATGGCCAGTGCCACGGTCCTCGTGGACGACACGGGCGTTGGCATCGACTTGCTCAGGGTCAGCCCCAGCGAAGTGCTGCACTACATGTACCTGAGCCTCGAGCGCTGGCAAAGCCATCGTATTTCGGACCACCTGCCTGGTGCCCCTGCTCGGCAGCCTGACGGTAGCCGACGGCATATCTGGATGCGAGCCCTCCGTCGTGGTCATCTGCAGAGGCTTTCAAGCGGGTTGCGAGGTGCGTTGGCCAAGCTCCAGTCAGATGGCATGTGGACGCCCGCTCGTAGGTGCGAGGCGGGTTACACGGACAATGCTGTATGTGGTTTCTGCGGTCACTCGCCTGCGGACCTCGAGCACGAGATGTTCTTCTGCTCGGTGCACGAGGCGCAGGAGGGCGAGGAGCAGGGCCCATGCCCTGACGACGTGCTGCAGGTCAGGAAAGACATCTGGGAGCAGGGCCAGACGGGTGCTGGCGCCGAGTGGGACCTCGCCACGGTCGACCTGCTCTACGCGCTGCCGATGCGCCCTGAGTTTCGGCCTCCTGAGCCCAGCCTGCTGCCTGTCAAAGAGTGGGGGGCCCGCGATGCCCCGTGGCCGTCCAAAGTTTTCGGAGACGGGTCTTGTTTCGATAGTGATTTCCTTGAGGCCAGGCGGTGTGGTTGGGCGGTGGTGGCCCTCACGCCGAATCTTTTGCCGTTCAAGGCTATCTTTGGAGGCCTCGGAGGCCCTATTCAGACCGTGCCCAGGGCCGAAAGGTTTGCCGCTCTCCGAGGCCTCGAATTGGCGTCCAGGCCGTCTGTGTTTGTCACGGATCACTTAGCTCTGGCGCAAGAAGGGGAGTTGTGGTTTGGCAGGCATGCTCGACCTACAGCACCTCATGCTAGCGTCTGGAGGCGACTGCACGCTCTGTACGAAAGTGATCTGGATCGTTTGCCCCGGTTTTCCTGGACTCGTTCTCACAGGTCTGTGGATGAGGGCATTGCGTCGTGCTGTTCCTCGGGCGAACCCTTGGAGAATTTGTTCGGTAATATGTGGGCCGATTGTTTCGCGAAGATGGCCGCGCTTGAGCTGTCGGGCTCATCCTCGGTCATCCGTGCACATAAGTTTGAGATGGAGCAGGCCAAGCAGCGGATGCGTTGTCTGGCGTTCGCTGCCCATAGAGTGGCCTCTTTGGCGTCGCCCGTCGTCTATCGGCCGCTACCGCCCGCCCCTAGAGCCCCACGTCGACGAAAGCCGACCACCCACGCGTTTGCCCTGTTTCCTGCGGGCGCTATTGGGTGCAAGGCTTGTTGGCGCCAGGCCTCGACCCCGTCTTCCTTGAAGTCCCTCGCCTCCCGCTTGTGTGATCCCCAGGTTGTCGGCCCTGGACACCTGATCCAGGTTTGTGATCGAGTGCTGATTTGCACGCGCTGTGGGGCCCACACAGTGCGACCGCAGAGGCTCTCAGTGGGCCTCACGCGAGCCTGCCTTGTCAAGGATGAGGGAGTTCGGTCGGGAGCGGGGGCGTGTGGGACGCGGGGGGAGAGAGTCCAGAAAATGTTGCAACAGGCCCAGCGTGGCCGCCACCCCAAGACGGGAGAGGCGATCGGCCCGCTGCTCCTAGCCCCGATTGCCCCTGAGGCCGCGTTGCGCTCGCTGGCTTACGTCGGGACGGGGGTGGCGGACGGGGGGGGCGGTGTCGGTCGTGGTGTCGAGGAGGAGGAGCGGCGGAGCACGGCGCCGCAGGCCTCTGCCGAGGGGCAGCGCAGGCCCGCGCCCACGGCTCCCCCCTCCCCCTCGGCCTCTGCGCCCCAGCAACAGCCCGAGTCTGGGGACTCGGACTAGCTGTGGCCCCACCTCGGGCGCGTGCCTGCGCCCTTTCCTTTCGCTCCGAGGCCCAGTCGGGATTCCCCTCTGCGCCCTCGGCCATTGCCCATTGCTCCTCCTCCTCCTCCTCCTCCTTCTCCTCCTCCCTCCTCCCCTCCTCCTCTCCTCCTCCTCCTCCTCCCCTCCGCATCTCCTCCTCCTTCCTCCTCCTCCTCCTCCCCCGCCTCCTCCTTCTCCTCTATTACCCCTCTCCTCCCCCCCTCCTCCTCTCTCCTCCTCCTCTTCCTCCTCCTCCTCCTCCTCCTCCTCCTCCTCCTCCTCCTCCTCCTCCTCTCCCTCCTCCCTCCTCCCTCCTCCCCTCCTCCCTCCTCCCTCCTCCTCCTCCTCCTCCTCCTCCCTCTTCTCCTCCTCCTCCTCCTCCTCCTCCTCCTCCTCCTCCTCCCTCTTCCCTCCTCCTCCTTCTCCTCCTCCTCCTCCTCCTCCTCCTCCTCCTCCGTGACTGTCGGCCACACGCTCGGGGAGCGATCTGACCCCTGAGCCGCCCGCCCCGTCCTGGGTCTCCTTCGGCCGCGTCCTCCCCTCGCTCCTCCTCCTGCACGGTGGCACACTTCGCTCCAGCGGCATCCCCGTTTCGGCCTCTCATCGCCGGCGCAGTCGCCCTCTGCCTATCCGCCGACGCAAAAGTGTTGATTGTCGGGGGCACAGTCACCGGCGCCGCCGTCTATCCGGCGCAGTCACCCTCTGCCTATCCGCCGACGCAAAAGTGTTGACTATCCGCCGCCATCTATCTGGCGCAGTCACCCTCTGTGTTGATTGTCGGGGGCGCAGCTCTCCCAGTCCGTGGCCGGTCGGTGAGGCGGCGACCCGGCGGTCGCTGCAGGGGGGGGGGGGGGGCGGGCCTCGCTCG